CTCCTCCTCCTCCTCTCCCTCCTCCCCCTCCTCCTCCTCCTCCTCCCCTTCCCCCTCCTCCTCCTCTCCCTCCTCCTTGTATATATAGCCCTCCCCTCCATAGGGACTGTACTTGCATATTATTTTTAGTTAATGTTCCTGTCTTATCGCTACATATTTCATTAGATCCCCCCATTGTCTCGCATGCACATAGACGACGAACATAATTCTTATCTTTCTGTATAAATAAATATAAATATATATACACATTTATTTATTTATTTATTTATTTTATTTATATTATTTAATTCTTTCTTTATTTTATATATTCAGGCAAAAAGAACATGCAAATATTAACACAAGGAATAGTTATATCCTACGGTTAGGGTTTATTACGGTTTATTACGGTTTATTAGGGTTTATTAGGGTTTATTAACGTTTGTTAGGGTTTATTAGGGTTTATTAGGGTTTATTAACGTTTGTTAGGGTTTATTAGGGTTTATTAGGGTTTATTAGGGTTTATTAGGGTTTATTAGGGTTTATTAGGGTTTATAATATTGATAAGATATTATAAGCAAGAGATACAGTAACAGCAAGAGGATAACACACTCAGTAATTAGTGTTTAGTCATTAGGGTTTAGGGTTTAGGGTTTACGTACAAGCATTCTTCCTACACTATAAGCAAGAGAAATAGTAACAGCAAGAGGTAAACCCTCAGGGACAGCAACAACAACAATAGTAATAGCAGTAATAAAAAACTCTAAATGTTCTTTCCCTATGTTTATTGCTGATGGTCTATCCTCTATTGATGATAAACAATATAATATCCAATACCTACACACCAATATACAATACACCCTAAACCCTAAACCCTAAACCCTAAACCCTAAACCCTAAACCCTAAACCCTAATATACGATAAACCCTAAACCCTGGAGGTATTTCGGTATGGTGTAGGAGATGATTCTTAAATATTATCAGGGAGAATATGCATAAAGGAATAAACCCTCGTACAAATTAAGGGTTTATTAGGGTTTATTAGGGTTTATTAGGGTTTATTAGGGTTTAGGGTTTATAGATACGTACTGAACAATGAGTACAATAAAGGTAACACACGCAGCAATGAATCCAATCCTTCCTATATCTCTTGCTAATGCATTCAATTTATCTGCATATACAAACACCAATTAGGGTTTAGGGTTTAGGGTTTACTAGGGTTTAGGGTTTCCTAGGGTTTATGTATTGTGTATATTTTTTATATAATTGGTGTTTTTGCAAGATAATAAAGAATAAAATAATAATAAATATAATAAAATAAGTGTATTTAGGGTTATATACTATATATAAGGGTTTAGGGTTTAGGGTTTAGGGTTTAGGGTTTAGGGTTTACTTTGTAGAGGTGTAGGTTGTGCATCAACAGCAGTTAGGGTTTGTTGTATAATTCCTTGTTGTGTATGTTGTCCAACCCCAATAACAAGAGCACAACCACCACCACCAATAACAACACTTCCTCCTATTAATATACATGAATATATCTTATTATTATTATTATTATTATTATTATTTATTTTATTAAATAATACCTTCTGCTGCTGCTGTTGCTGTTGCTGTTGCTGCTGCTGTTGCTGCTGCTGTTGCTGCTGCTGTTGCTGTTGTTGCTGCTGGTTCTGTTGATGTAGTATCTGCTGTTGCTGTTGTTGCACTTTTTGCTGTTGCTGCTGCACTTGCTGCTGTTGCTGCACTTGCTGCTGCTGCACTTGCTGCTGTTGCTGCACTTGCTGCTGTTGCTGCACTTGCTGCTGCTGCTGCAGTATACATTCTTCATAAGGTAATTTATATATAGATCTACTTTCTCCAGTAATAGAACTTTCATCAATAAAAAAAGAAGAAAATAATTTTTTTATTAATATACAATCTGCAGGTAATTCATCACCTATTTCTAGTCTAATTATATCCCCTACTAATAAATATTTATTATTTATTTCTTTTTCTTTACCTATACGTATTACACGACATTTCTTATCCGCTGCATGCATACATATACATACATACATGCATGCATGCACACATATACAGCCCCATTATTAATATATATCTCTATCTATCTATCCATGTGTTCTTATGGGGTTCGCCTTTTATTACGTCTAGGGTTTAGGGTTTATTAGGGTTTATTAGGGTTTATTAGGGTTTATTAGGGTTTATTAGGGTTTAATATAAGTAATTGAATGAATTAACTGTAGGGGGTTTAATCATTTAATGCAGTTTATTAGATATAATTTTATATTAGTGTTTACACTATATTAGGGTTTAGGGTTTAGGGTTTAGGGTTTAGGGTTTATTAGGGTTTAGGGTTTAGGGTTTACCAGTTAATTTATGTAATTTTCTGAATAGTTTTTCTTTACCCCAATCATTTAATGCAGTGCCATTGACACAATTAGTGTTTATTATATTAGGGTTTATTTATTAGGGTTTAGGGTTAATTAGGGTTTAGGGTTTAGGGTTTAGGGTTTACCAGTTAATTTATGTAATTTTCTGAATAATTTTTCTTTACCCCAATAATCTAATGCAGTGCCATTGACACAATAATATATTAGTGTCCATTTATTAGGGTTTATTAGGGTTTAGGGTTTAGGGTTTAGGGTTTAGGGTTTAGGGTTTAGGGTTTAGGGTTTAGGGTTTACCAGTTAATTTATGTAATTTTCTGAATACAAAAAGAAAGGGGGTTAGTAAATTACGTCATTGTCTATGTTGATGATTGTGACGGTAGGTATATGGTTTGGGAAGATGGGTAAGATGGAATCCTAAGAGAGGAATCTATATACACACATAAATAAATAAATAAATAAATATATATATTTATTAATTAATTAATTAATTAATTAATTAATTAATTAATTAATTAATTATATTTATTTATTTAGTCATATATACCAAACCCTTCTACCCATTCTACCTTAGGATTCTCTCCTATCTATATACACACATAAATAAATAAATAAATAAATATATTTATTTATTTATTTATTTATTTATTTATTTATTTATTTATTTATTTATTTATTATATTTATTTATTTAGTCATATATATACCAAACCCTTCTACCCACTCTACCTTAGGGTTCTCTCCTATCTATATACACATAAATAAATAAATAAATAAATAAATATAAATAAATAAATATAAATAAATAAATAAATAAATATAAATAAATAAATATAATATTTATTTATTTATTTA